CAATAAACAATGTTGTTTATCATAAGTGTCGTAATCTTGTTTATAATCACATTTCTACTAATTATAAGAATGAATGTCGTTTGATTTGTTTTTAGCATCACCTGTCGTAAGACCGTAAAAGATTAATTAGAAATATATTTTGGTTTTACAAAAGTTAGAAACAAAATCTCTAATATGACTATACCTACTGAAGATTATGTATATATTGTTTTGTGTAGAATATTTAATGTGTAGAAGCAACCAATGACTACATGACCACAAAAGAAAATTAACGTTCAGTCAAATAAACATTAAACTCTTATGTTTAAAAATAAACTGATTGATGTAATGAGTAACTCATTAAAAAGTGTTAAAGAGGCTTATCTGTTCATAGGAAATTAACAGAAGTTTATTAATATACTTACTATATTCACTGGTGTTCCTGAAGGCACATTTTCTTTGATAGAGCCTTGATATGATTGTAGAAAGGTCGGAATTTGATCGTTGACATCCAATACCTCCACAGATACCTCACTAATACTCTATAAAATAATATAGAGCTAGAAAACATATAACTTCCAAACAAGCCAAAAACTTCATATTTATCAAAAGAGAATGCTTTAAAAGAAAATGGTAATTAAAAAAATATGGTTTATTGAACGTTTAAATCACAACTGGCTTGAGAGAAAGTTATTTTACAAAACTAAAATAATCTCACGAGACTTATAAACATTAATGAATAAGTTAGAATATTCAATATAATTTTAAAAAGCTGATTTTTGTCTGCACAATTTTAAGTATTTTGCAAAAATAAAGCTAAAAATAGGGCCGGTGTTATGGACTAAGTAAACAACCGCTAGGGTGGCACTGCAAAATTAATTGTTTTTGTTTCTTTTTTGAATTTCGCGCAAAGCTACACGAGAGCTATATACGCTAGCCGTCCCTAATTTAGCAGTGGAAGAATAGAGGGAAGGCATCTAGTCATCACCACCCACCGCCAACTCTTGGGCTACTCTTTTACCAACGAATAGTGGGATTGACCGTCACACGGCTGAAAGGGCGAGCATGTGACGGGGATTCGAACCCGCAACCCACAGATTGCTAGTCGAGCGCTCTAACCACATGGCCATGTCGGGCCTCAAAATTAAAACAATTTGCTAAGGTCGCTTTAAATTTACAATATTACCTCCCTTGTTATAGTTTTTCTAGTTGAGCACGTTTGCTGAGAAGGTACGACCACAAAGTCTTGTCAGTAGAAAAGAAGTACCAATTTAATGGGTTGCAATATTCTATCACTCACGATTCACTGTTTTACTTTTAGTGCAAGATTTCCAACATAGCTAATTTTTCACTGTCGTCAAACGTAACAAATCAATGGAAAAAAACTGTCAGAGATTTTAAGTCGACATAAAAAGTCAATAGATCATTTGGGAGAATTTCGACAGTGGAGAGAATTAGAATCTTGACTGAAAATGAACCAAACAATTAAAATCTGCGTAACCAAGTGTAAGAGCATTAGAAATTTTCACTTAAAAACTTTATTGTTTTGCTAAAGTGTCAAATAATTCAAAATATTACTCTTTGTGGAACTCATGAGTCGCTTACACACTTGGAAATGGGAATTTTCCGAAGTTATTGATTATTTCACCATATTTCATCATTTTATGAAACAACATATGGCAAAACAAAACTGACTGGGCTGGCAACAATTGTGATCGAATACTAAAGAACACAAAACTTGAAGTTGAAGTAAGCATTTCACCTCAGTGAAAGAAAGATAATCACGTGCTAGCTGTTACTGTCACATTTCCTGAGCCTTCAACAAACAAAGGAAAATAGATGAACTTGGTTAAATTTGTAGTTTTACGTTTTTCTTCTTTTTTTTGTAAGGGGAGCGAAAGCTTTAAAATTTGCTTAGGGCTGCAAACTACCTAGCGCTTAACCTATGCATGAATGTACAATATTGTATATGATATAATATGTAGTTCTACGTTCTCGTTAATCTTTCTAAGGTTTAAAGTTATAACCTAGAAAATTAGCCTGAACCTGCAAAATGGCTAGTTCTAAGGCTGTGCAAAAATGTACAATATTGCTTTTGTAGAATATGTTCAATTTTTAGAGACTATAACATATTTCTACCTCTACCTCTATTTCTACCTTTGTACAACCGATGGTAGTTTTATGGAAGGAAAGGAGATGCGTTTATACACCACGAAATCCCATTCTTTCCAAGGAGGAAATTAGATAGGCAAAGAGATAACTCTAATTCTTTTAGGTTTGGTATAATAAGAAGATGAATGGGAACTGAGGGACTAATCACAAAGTATTAATAATTTTCTGATACTAATAATAGGAGGCAGAATAACATGGTTACTGACATAAGCATAAAAAAAATCGCTCAACCCTTTTGAAGACGAAAATATGTTTAATAATGTTCACAATAGTTTTTGTTTTGTTTTACAGTTGAAAATCTAACCCCAGCAACAAAACCTGACGACTCAATATAATAATTTTGATGTAAATAATTGTGCAACAATTTACTTAGTTTTTCAATTAAACTAACTTCATGATATATATGTGGAATGTTAATACACGACAAACTAAAATAATCACACAGTAATTTCATATCAAATTTAAAGACTGTTAACTTATTTCAGAATTTTCGCGCGAAGCCACAGAAAAGGACTATCTGTACATAATTATGAACTGAAGAGGAATAGGTAGTAAACAAATCCTACGTCCACTCTTGGGCTACTCTAATTTGACCAAATAATGGGATGTGATTGTCACTCTTATAGTGCATCTTTGGCCCCAATAGGCGCAATGCGTTTATGCGGCAACGGGTCGCGAATCATAAGATTCATCCTAGAACGTTAAATGTTAGGCCACGACCGGACCAAAATTAACGAAATACTCTTTACAAAACTCACATATAAAAATAAAGGACTTTGACGGTATGCTATTTATTTTCCATTGCTTTATAACACTTTTAAAGAATTTAGGCCTAACTTATGGATCAGCTCACGGCCAGAATTTTCACCCTTAAAGAGGGCACTGCTCGGGTAACTTAACGACCTGCTCTGTGGGATCACTGAACAAATATTCAAAACGACAGAGACTATTATTTGGCTTGAAAGAAAATATATTAAGAGCAATAAAAAAGTATCAAGATTAGATCATGTAAATAAGAGAATACAAGGTGCCGGAAACGATTGTTTGACCTAAATCTCGGCATACTAACACAGACTGACATTAGTTATTATCTTGTCATTACTTGTGATAAAACAAAACCATTATCAATATACATTTGTCTGTTAACGACGAAAATAATAACCTCAATAAGAAACAAAAAATTAAATCGAATAAAACATTTAATGAATCTTATCACTTCTGCTTCAGTAGCCAAAATACAATGTAATGTAGTTTTCAATGCCATGAGTTAACATGGTGGATTCTTTGGCAGCTGCTATCTTATATTGCGTATTGAGATCATAAATTAAATTTACTTAGTTGTTCTCAATAACACTTTTAATTAGATTATGTGAGCGATCGATTAATTGTTGTTCTCACGGAGAGCAAGTGTGAGCTAATCAGTAACTTAACGCACTCCTTGTTTCAGCCACTGACCAAACAATATATTAGAACTAGGTGGTCAAGGCATTTCTAATATGTCCCTTCTAGATTTTGAACTTACCACTTTGGAAGAGGGTCTCCTTTCTTCTAGCATCACAGTAAATGTATGTTTACTTCGTGTCTCCCTGTCTAGCCCAACTTTGGTGAAGATGTGGCCATCCTACAAGTGAAAAAGGGCAACCAGCAATTTTGTTAGGTTATAATACGAAACGAACAATGTCTTCAATAAATATAATTATATAAGTTGCAGGAACTTTAATAGCTGTATTTCACAGTAGGTAGAAAGATTTAGTTGCACGGAGAATTATTATAATCAATATTAATTTTACTTAGATCTTAAGAAAACTTTTGGCCAATGTTTGCCTTTTACAGCTTAATCTGGGTATTAGGTATATGTAAGTATTCGTTCAATATTCTTTAATACACAATATAGGTTTAAATAAATGCTTTGTAAAATAAAAATAATATTTACTAAGAAAATGTTGATTTTGAAAAATAAAACAGTGTTTCACACTCTGGTCCATGATGATTTACATAGCCGCTAAGATATTTAGAATGAAATCTACATTATTTTGTGAAATAAAAACATATTTTACTATAAATACAAAATAAGGGCTTATCATTCCTACATTTTTATTTACAACAATAAAAGTAAAAAGCAGTAAACCTCGGTGATGCTAAACAACTTTTTGACATCAGAGTTGACAATGATGTAAACAGTTTCGGTGTTGAGACGATGTTTTCTGGGCTTCAACTTCACTTGACCAACCAATGCTCCAGCTGTATTCTCCAGAACGGCAAAATTATAATGATGTTGATTAAACCTTGGGTCTCGCTCTTCTGCTTCACTGACAATAACTTTCAGAACAGCCTACGAAGAATACAAATTATAATATATAAGAAACAAGTTTTAATAATTTCAAAGTAGAAACATCATACCGCATGCTTAGCTATATCCTGGGGTAGCCTAATGAACAGTTATAAATTATACTTACTATTCCTTTCCATTGACCATCAAAAACTTCTAATGTAAGTGTGTATTCTTGTGCTTCAGAAACATCCAGCTGTCGCGTGATGTTAATAGTGCCGGAAGCAGGGTCAATCTCAAAAGGTACTATAGTAAAATAAAATGGAATATGTTTCGTAGAGGCACGCTTTAAGACAAATAAAAATATAAATTACTACTGTTCTTTTCTGGGTGACATCATAACAATTTCTATCGACTATGTTTTATGTATTTGAATTTTGCTTCTCAAACTTTTCCCGATTGCTGTAATATTTTTTATTTGATATACTTCTAACCTACTTAAACTTCAGTAAGGGGAGAATTGGAATATATATCCCGCTTGAGTACATCAAATATCAGCTTCCAAAGGATAACCAATTGTTTTTGTTGTACAAAGTCTTAATGTGCTATTCAAAGTATTACAGTTAACAGTTGTGTACTTGATTGCGATAACAGATGAAAACGGAACAGCAGTTAAAAAAATATAGGCGTAAACATTGGAAACCTTCTGTGACACCTTTCTTTTTATATTTTGATTATTCTAACATGTTGTGAAACCACACTTTATTAAAATAATGCATAACACATAAGTCACAAACAAAAGTTAATTATGCACTCTATCTTCTCAACTCACTGTGTTTGTGCTTCTGAGCAAACGAATACTTTAAGTTGGTGTTGTTAGCTGTATCTGCGTCTGTAGCCTTCACGGTTTCAAACACAGTGCCAACAGGAACACTCTCAGATAAGAACTGGTAATAAACTTCTTTCTCGAATTGAGGTGGGTTGTCATTAATGTCCTGTATTAATACAACGACCTAGAATAGACACTTATAGGAATTAACATGTGCTCCTACATAATTATTATCACTAGATAATTATGGAACAGAACTTCCAAAAGATCTTAAAAAGGATCAACACCACAATACATACAAAATAAAACGGAAGAACTAAATTAATATTAATATGAGTAGAATCCACTGCGTTCCTGTTCAAATATTTGGCAATAGAGCCTCAAATAAAACATAATAAAGGCTCTAAAATGCAAATACCATTATACATATGTTTAAAATTTTAAAAGAACACAACATATATCCTTTGGTCTACGGGAGCATAGTGAAGTCAAAAGCAAACAGAAAACTAAAAGTAAAAAGAATCTACAAGTATAGTTGTTTCGAAAGACTAAAACAACGTAAGGGAAACCTTCACTGAGTTTTATTTTAATTATACTTTTACAGACTTATCATGCCCCTTTTTTTGCGTTTACCTGGGCCGTTCCTGTGCGGGAAGGTATACCCATGTCTTTTGCTGCAACCTTAACAAGATGAGTAGCAAAATCCTGGACATCATAGTTCTCTCTGTCAAGCTCCTTTCTTATAGATAAAACCGCCTTGAACGAAATGAAAATCACAATTATGTCTAAATATAATCGTAATAATTTGTATTCAATTTAAGGAAAATTCAGTGGACGTCTATAATGTGCTTTTGGTAGCTTACACCCACTTTTATCATATTGTAATTCTCTAAAGTAAATCAATTACTGGAATATAAGTTTAACATTAGAATACTATTAAACCTTACTGTAACGCAACGCTAAAGCCCACAAAATTATTCTGTAATCCATTTATTATGATACTGTAATTTGTAAGTAAGAATTCGCATTTGAACATATTAGGAACAAAATGGCAATTACCATAGTTTTAAGATACTCTTCCTTCAATTCTTTTTGCTGTTTGAAAATTCTGTAAGTTAGAGTTAATACCAATAAATCATTCATTTTTGACTCCATGTAGAAGTTCGTACGTTTAGATACCTTACATGAGGCTTTCGTTAAGAATCAACAAATACACCTCGATTAACCTATTGATGGTCTGTTGGATAACCAAAATTTATTGTTTAGAACAACTCACCAGTAACTGATAACCAGTGCACGAAAAGGAAACTTATTAATCGTTTAGGAAACTCAACAAAATATACTGATATATGAAGAGATGTGGCAAAATAATAAAAAAGATCTAGAATCTCCACAAACACAATTACAATAAGACGACTTATTATTACGAGTCGGTTACTTTTGAAATGGCAAATGTTTTAGGTTTTAAAAAGTAATTTCTTTGTGTATTGGGTTATGTTACTACTTTAACTGTACAAATAATGGCATTTTTAGAAATTATCACGTATATATATAAACACCAATGTCTGTCTGTGTGAAATACGCAACTTAAATATTTTCATAAACCAACAGATGGTGCCATAATATGCTTGTCTTAATGTTTTTCACCTTCGCTAAAAGGTTTTTAACAATTTGTAAAAATACATTATAAAGATTTTTTGATGAAATGTTATACCTTTATGGACTTGCCCTTGACCCTCCGATTTTTTGTCATCACAATTAATAAATTTCAGGGTCACACATTTCACCATGTAGGAATATTTCTTCCAGAACCAATTTTTTTCACATGTTCAATTCTATACGGTTTTATAAAGAAGCAGATTTGAGCATAACATTAAAATATACAAAAGTCCACTTTCTCATCAAGGGCCACTTGCAGGAGATGACAAAATA